GGGTCCTGTTTCAATCTTCTGCATGTGGTCAGCCAGTTTTCCCAGCACCATTTACTGAATAGGTTCTCCTCTCCCCAGTGGTAGGTGGTGGAGGCTTTATTGATAATGAGTTGGTCGAGAAATTGAGGTTTTGCTTCTGGAATCTCAATTCTATTCCATTGATCTAAATGCCTGTTCCTATACCAATACCAAGCTGTTTTGATGATTGCAGCTTTATAGTAAAGTTTGAAGTCTGGTAATGTGAATGAAAAGTAATTGTATACCTAACCCTTAACTGTACCCCACAACATCATAATAAAAAATATTGATTAAAAGAAAGAAAAAAAATTATCTTTTGTATTTACTTGTTTTGTTTTGTTTTTGCCTTTTTGAACATTCATCTGGCTATTTGTTTTACTCCCCATTCGCCACGGTTTTTTGGCAAAGCCTCTATATGCTTGACTAAACTTGGATTTATTTTCTGCATCAGGTGATGCTTCATTCTGACTCACCACCCAGAGGAGTGAGGGTGACCTAGGGGGTTTAGTTTCTTCTTTGCTTTTCGCTGACAAGGACAGAACAGGGTGGCTGTTTCCAATTCATTTTATAGTTTACTTTTGTTCTAATTTGTCTCCCTGGGAAAGTTCTTCCCATTTGTTTGCCTTTTCATTTCTCAAATGCCTCTATCTCGTCTGACCATCAGGATGGGTGGTGGCTGTCACATGTAGAGACATATATCTGACTGTATTATATCCAATTTTGTAGGTGGCAATTTTTCTACCTTTGAGTTTATTGTGGATTTTTGTTGATCAGGAGCATGGTTTCTAAGGTAGATATATAAAAAATGTACAGTTGTGGATTTGATCAAGAATTGGTTGCCTACTCCAATGTGCATTAATTTCCTGTGTTTTCTTCTAGGATTCTTATAGTTTGAGGTTCTATTTTAAGGTCTTTGTTCCATTTAGAGTTGATATTTGTATATGGTGATAGGTAAGGGTCCTGTTTCATTCTTCAGCATGTGGTCAGCCAGTTTTCCCAAAAGCATATGCCATAAAAGATAAGATAGAAAAGTGGGACCTCATCAAACAGAAAAAAACTTTTGCCCAGCAAAAGAAACCATCAAGAGATCAGGGAGACAACCCACAGAATGGGAAAAAAAATATTTGTTAATTGTGTATTTGACAAAGGCTTAACATCTAGAATCTATAAGGAATTCAAAGGAGCTGAAAGGAAAACAAAAACAGCCCTATTAGAAAAATGGGCTGACGACATGAATAGACAATTCTCAAAAGAAGACATATGAGCAGCCAACAGACATATGAAAAAATGCTCAGCCTCACTAATCATCAGAGAAATTCAAGTCAAAACCACATTGAGATACCACCTACCTCCAGTAAGTATGGGCATCTTTAATAAATAAAGAAACAACAGATGATGGCATGAATGCAGAGAAAGAGTTCTATACTGTTGGTACGAGTGCAAACTACCAACCTCTATGGAAAATTCGGTGGCGATTTCTAAAGGAGCTAGAAATTGACCTTCTATAAGATCCAGCAATCCCCCTTCTGGAAATGCCAGAGGAACACTTATTTCTGTCTCCATACTATAGTCTGGCATGTGTGATATGCAACCAGCTTATTCTTGGTGGATGGAAATCAATTCAACAGAAGTTCATGGGTACAGCTGTTCAACATGTTCCACATGCAACTGTCTTATATCATCATTTTGTCCGGAGACTTCATAAGAGAATTTATAAAATAACTTGCTAAAATCCAGACATATTAGACCTACACCATTTCACTAATCTGATGACATAACACCTTATCCAAAAATAAAATAAGGTTAATCTGTTTAGGGAAGCAATACTAGCTCTTCATCCGTTTTATTCCCTCTTGAATGATTATAAACTATCTGTTTGAGATGACTGATGCAAAAATCTCTGAAAAAATTAAAAATTTAAAAGTACTAAAGAATTTCAAGCCAAGCATGGTGGCACACATCTGTAATCCCAGCTACTTGGGAGGCTGAAGTGGGAGGATTGCTTGAGTATAGGAGTTCAAGACCAATCCCAGCAACATAGTAAGACTGTCTAAAAAAATTCATTATAACTGTTATAAACTTTTCAGATATACTTAGATATCTGTATATATCTACCCCTCTCTCTCTCTCTCTCTCTCTCTCTCTCTCTCTCTCTCTCTCTCTCTCTCTATATATATATATATATATATATATATATAATTATATAAGTGGGGCCCCCAAACCAGAATTTATTTATTAAAAATTGTACATTTATTCTTACATGTTTAAACTTCAGTCACCTTCAAAGTACTCTCTGTTTGATGCAATATACTTATTTTTTTTGAGAGAGGGACTGGTTCTTTATTTAAAAAAGACACTTACCAATATGCAGTATCAAAACAGGTACACTATTGGTTTCTGTTTCTCCCAATCGGCTCCAAAGAGACCACACCAAAGGAGAGTAAATTTTAAGTCAATAAGCTGCAGGATATACACCTAATAGACTTCATAGAAACCTTACCAAAAAGTGGGGACTGGGTAGGGAAAGAAACTTCAAAGATCAGCAAACTGCCAGCCCACAAACTGTAGGCTCTCACAGCCAGATGGGGTGGCCAGGGCACCCCAAACCCAAAGAAGTAAAGTTTTAAAATAATATAAAATTTAAAAAGTTTTGTACATAAGCTATTCAAGATTTCTC